AATGACAATGGTCCATTACTTTATCTATTCCTAAATCATTTTCGCAAATATGACAAATATTATTTTCTAAATGCTTTTTTAATTCTAATTCTGTTAATTTTTTCATTGGAACTATACTATCTAAATACTTACAAGCTATATTTTTCACATCTTTAATTAAATTACTTACAAAATCATTCTCACATCCAGGATTAGTCTGCATGCGAAATTCATCTAAATTATCATCATATGAGCATTTAATGTAGTATGCATAAGAGCCCGGAACATGTTGTTGGATATCTATCGTTGATGATATCTTCGGTTCTGGTGAGCATGTATCGATATTTTCTAGAATGCATTCAAAGTCCGCGTAAATCGCAAAAGGAACTACCATTTTCTTTCCAAAGTTTTTGAATTTTAGTATCTTGTTTTCATTTTTTGGCATTGATGTAACAATTCTGTTACACTCAGGCTCATGTTGTTTTAAATCCGCTTCATTATAAAAATGTAACAAGCAATTTTCACATAAAAAATACTTCGTTTATGTTTACTGATTTGTGATGCGATTAGTCTGGATATATTTTTTATATATACATAGTGTGATTTTTCTTCGTTTTCTATCAAGAACAGATTTATATGATGCACTTTTTTTTCTGTTGTACAATAATACGGTCCACTAATTTGAAAGAATGTATTATCGTTGGTTTCCACTTTTTCATATCCAAAAACATTTATGCTGATATTTGAGTTTAATTCTTCAAATATTTTTATATCACTAACTTTAAGCGGAAATGTTAACCCATCGAATTTTAAAGTAATATTATTTTCTAATTTAATTCTTTCCGCTCTAATATCTCGAATCTTATACGTTGATGTTCTTTTAGGGTGATTTCCAGTATGAAATGCGGCTGCTACACTCAATTTAAAGCAATATTCATCTGAATTCATAATGTTGATGCATGCTTTTTTATTTTTTATAAATAGCGGTAATGGTAGATATTGTGAACCACGTAAAGATTTGTATTCATTGACGTTAATTTCCAAATGTATAATTTTAATTAACGCCCATCCACTATCTCGTTCTTGAAATTCGTCTGTCTTTTTTATAATATTCTGCATCATCTTATCATAGCTTTCATATATTTCAGCTTCATGTAATATACGCAACATTTTGCTATTAAACGATTTTATTGATGTTATGAGTTCATCGTGATAATCATCATCAAAATTAACTTCAGTATTCCCTCTTTTTTCGATTTTTACATATTCTGCAAACAGCTCCAAATTAAATTTAAATGCTCGATGTTTTATTAACATGCTGCTTAACAATTTGGTGATCCTTTCTTTGGAATTTTGTAGAAACGATTCGGGTAAAATATTGCTTTCATCATTATTTTCTAACATGAAAGTCTCCACTCGTTCTTTGAAATTGCTCTTCACACGTTTTAAGTCTCCATCCACAATTTCTTTAGCATTTTTTTTATGTGCAAATGTTTTAGTATGATGCAGCCAATCCTTGCATAATACTTCAATATTGCAATCTAAGCAAGTTTTGAAATTATTTTGAACTGAACGTTTCATTTTTATTATTCCTTCACTGACTAATTTTTAATTAATTCTTAATTAATTTTATGTAGTTTTACTGATGCACTCAAACAAAGTACTATTTATAAATTATATTTCGGTAATTGTATTTAAGTTCGTGTTTAATTTAATATCATTCAAATTCTTTGATAATTTATAATGGTAAACCGTATCCTATACTAGGCTATTTTTACATAATTAATATCATTTCATATTATTACAGAGAATCTGCTGACGTCATTTTTCAAGTTCATGAAGACATAATATAGTATAGTATCATATCATTTTTTTTCAATTCCCTCATTCTGCAATACAGTTTTAATAAAATTTCTTATCTTTTATAAAACTTGAAAAAAAACCGCAAAAATATTTTTTATCTCAAAAGCTTTCATTTTACATTTTTAAAAACTCGGTAGGTACTCATGTCGAAAAAGAACGATTTTCATACATTTTTATGATAATGGAAAAAATTGCTTTCATCAGACAACCATAGGATATTCTTATTAAAATAAAAAAAATTTCAATCGGTTTCAACAGCAGCCGCTACAACTCCGGCGCTCCTCCTAGAGCTTGCTACAACCCGGTTCTTCGCCACCGCCACCGCCACCTCCAACGCCACCGCTGCCGCCACTGCCCTCTCCTAGAACCTGTTTATGAATTCGACACTGTTGGAACCTGCTACAACTCAACTGCCCCAACCCTTATAACCTACCGCGAACCTCCTCCGGCTCTTAGAACCTGCTACAACTGGGCTCTTAGAACCTGCTACAACTCGGCCCTTAGAACCTGCTACAATTCGATCTTTAGAACATGCTACAACTCGGCTCTTAGAACCTGCTACAACTCGACCCTTAGAACCTGCTACAACTCCGGCGCTCACTCCTACAACCTGCTAAAACTCAACCCCTCCTGCAACTCAACTTTATCGTCGGCGTCATTTCAATTTCATAATACTCCTCCTAAATATCAATTTCATAATACTCCTCCTAAATATCATCTTATTCAGCTGCCAAAATATTTTTGACGTCATCTGACAACCCGCATATCGTCGGTATACGGGCAGAAGTGACCAAGTGAAAAAAGTTACTTTTGAGTAATGAGCGTTTAAAATTTTTTAATATTTTAAGCTGAAAAAAAATTTGGAAGATGGGAAGGTACTGGAATGGTGTTTAGTGTTTTTAATACTTCAAAAAAAGTACTTTGAAAAAATAATTTTGTAAGTTGAGTTTCCTTTAAAAAAAGGGGGGTTTTTGAGAGATAGTCATTTTTGCCTGAAAATATTTCTCAACTTTTGATGCGTTATACAGTTGTATACCCTGGTAAATTCCTTATGGAGAAAAGATTTTCAAGAGCTAGAGCTAAATTATAAATAAAAATAATAACAAAGTATGTAAGTTTATGTTTACTTTATATTTATTTGTAATTATGAAACTTTATTTAAGAAAAATTATGTAATCAAATCAAGTATTCTTTTCTTCATTTGTCTTATTTATGAAAGTTTAAGAAAAAATAATAAATTAAAACATAAAATAACAAATTTTATAAATTCAACATAAATTCAACATAACAAAATAAATTATAAGTTTTCTATTTTAGCAAAAACAAAATATAAATATAATTTTTTCCAAAATATTTCATCAAAAAAAAAAATATTAATTAACAAAAAAAAATATTTAATATATTTTTTATTGAAATATATTGAAATTTCCTTATAAAGGTTTAATACCTTTATAAGGAAATTTCAAAATTTGTTGGTAAAGCGAAATTTGTTCAAAATCATTATTCTTATTCTGAATCAGATTCATAACCAGGTTCAGGTGCGATATCATTCTTCTTATTATTTGTTGGTAAACTTTGATACCATGCATCGTACTCAGGTGGAATCGCACCTTTTTGGCAGTGTTTCTAAGTCTTTTTTTTTTGGCACAGCTTATAGGTATTTCTGAATTATACAACGCATTAAGTGTTTCTAGCATACAAAATTTTTTATTTTTTGATCTAGTTTTAAGAGCAGTAATATCAATCTTATCAAATTCATCAGAGTAGTTGTGACTTCAAAAATGCAGTAAAAACGTATTTGCTACAATGTATCATATTCAAAAATGTATTATAAAAGCTCTTGACGTTGTATCATATTCAAAAATGTAAAATAAATGTAGTGGATACGTAAAATAAAAGCAGAGAGAGTTCTTGAAAACTTTCTAATTGAAAGTTTTCAACAACTTTTGTTACATTTGGATTTGTTCTTTGAAAATGGAAGAAGCAGGGTAAGCTTTAATAATTTTCTTTACAGATAAATATTCAAATATTATTCTTCTTGTAAATTTCAGAAATAAGAAGTGGACTTTTGAACAAAAGAAGTTACTAATTTCCATAAGGTTATCTTATGAGAAAGAATTTATTTCTAAACGAAAAAAAAACAAAGCCCTGTGGAAAAAAGTCTTAGAAGACATATTAAAAATAGATCAAGAGTTTCCTTTCAATGAGGATGAGATCTATAAAAAATTTTTAAATATTATGGTTACATACAAAAGAATAAAAAGGCGGAACCATACTTCTGGAGCAGAAAGCACCTCGTGGGAGTATTTCGACCAGTTGGACGAAATTTACGGAACCCGAAGTAACATTTCTGTTCCTTCATATATGTATTTTAGATTCAAGTTTGCAAGAATCAATAGAAAATATTCTTGAAGATACTGGTACTTCTTCATTTGAAGAAAGTACTAATTCACCTGCCGCAACCACTGCAACCAGAAGACGTCGTAATGAAATTTTGGAATTTTTGGAGAAAGAGGCTGCTGAAGATAAGAGAATGATGCAAGAATTATTAGATTTAGAAAAAGCAAAACTTCAAAAAATGGAACAACTCGAAAGAGATAAAATAGAACAACTAAAACAATTAACAGATATTTTCAAAGCGTATTTCACCAAGTAATACTACAAAAGTTAATTTTTGTATAAAATTTGATTTTGTCTTCGAATTAAAGTCAAAGTTTTGTGGTTTTTTTTTTTTTTTCTACATGTGATTAGAAGTTAACTGAAATGTGATTTAAATTAATGTGTTCATATAAAATAATTTAAGATTTTCATAATTAAAAAATTTGATTTGCTCAATGCATATGAAATTTTCTAACTGTAGTAATTTTTAAACTTTATTTAATACTTAAGTTAATGAAATGTTTTTTTGTTTTTAATTAAGAATAAGACTGTTTTGTTTGGGTTCATAGAGATAAGAGTTTATTCATAGATACCTGAATTAAAAATTATGAATTAAAACTAGAAAACTGTTTATACTGAGTACAAATGTATATATTAATGTGTATGTATAATAAAAAAAAATGAAAACAAAATTAAAAATGGTATTTCAATTTTAAATTTTACCAATTTTAAGCACAAATTAAATTTTTCAATCTATTTCTTTTATTTACAGCTTCTGTTTAAAAATCAAGTATACTGGATTCGGCAGTATCAATAGCATCAGCATCAGTTTCCACTTCGCACATATCATTTATGGTTACTCTTTCGTTATCAATAATAATATTGTGGAGTACAATACTTGCCATAATTATGGTCTTTGATACCTTTATATTTTGTAATTCTAGATGATTTAGCATCCTCCACTTTTTTTTTAAAATACCGAATGCCTGCTCTACAAACACGCGAGTAGAACTTAAAGCGGTATTATATTTGCTCTCACATTCGGTGAGAAATCCATTTTCCTTAAAAGGTACCATCATATACGTTTGCAACGCATATGCGCCATCACCAATTAAATGGTTGTCTAGTGGAACAACGATGGAACCTCAAAATAAATACAAAAATATAAATATATCTTTATAAACATGTTCATATTTATTTATGAATTCAGAATATTTACCATTCGTAATTGCCTCTTTTAACGGACTTGCGTTCCACATAGCCGCATCATGGCAACTGCCGGGATAACCGACAAATGCGTCTATAAATTTCATTTGGCTGTCAACTACTCCCTAGAATTTATGAAATACGTATTTTTGTAAATTAAATAAATGAATAAAAAATTTTACCTGCACAAGGACTGAATAAAAACCCTTGCGATTATAAAAGCTTATTTGATCTTTTATAGGTTTGCTAATTCGTATATGCATACCATCAATGCATCCTATGGTGTTTGGCAAAGGACGGCAGCGACTATTTTCAAACCCTTCAATTATTTGTCTTTGTGCAGCTTCACTTCGAGGGAATTTGATAACTTTACCTTTCAGTTTGGCGATTAATCGTGTTATTTTAACAAAAATATGGTAGGCTGTTCCCTGTGCTATTCCAAACCGATCACTAACTTCTCTGAACGTATTACTGTTTGCCAATTTCCATATGGTAACAAGCAAACAATATTTCAGCGGAAAACTTGGCCGACCGATCTGGTTTGAAACAAATGATGGCTCTAACATGTTATATACCACCTAAAAGTATTTACAAATTCAAATCTATGCTTAGTTGTTAATGTTTGAATATACACTTACTTCAAAGGTAGCTGTACTCATTCGAAAATGACTGAAAAATACGTCATCAGGATATTTTTGAATAATTTGGTCGAAATTTATTATTTTTGGAATTTTCCTTGTTAGTTTGTTTGGTTTTACAATATTACAAAGGAGAGCACATCTCTTTTTTCTTCTTTTGTTTAAAATTTTTTTAATTTCTATTAAATTGCTGTTTTGATTAAAGCTATTGCAATCCAATAAATTTAAAAAATTCATTATTCATTTATTTTTAATTTTACTCTGAAAAGATTAATTTTATAATATTATTGTTTTTAGAAAACTGTTTTTGAAAATTACTAAACGTCAAAAAGTTTATAGATCGTCAAATTCATGTTCAAAAAGGTAGTAAAAGCTTTCGTATTTTTAATACAACGCAGTGGTATTAAAAGCTTTGCGGCGGTAGTAAAACTGTATTAAAACTGTTTTAAAACTTTTTGTACTGCATTTTTGAAGTCACAGTAGTTGTATCTATATAGTATAGTATTTGGATTTTCTTTTTCATAGCGCAAACTTTTTATTTTCAACCAGTTTACTTTTTCACCTCTTTCATTAACAGACTTATTTCCCATAATTTCTTTGGCCAACGGTTTCAAATCAACAATATCAGAATATCTAAGTTCGTGAACCTCATAGGGCAAAGCATTTTTTCTTCGTCCTCTACTAGATCGAGCCACTTTGAAAATATTAATCCAAGCATTCATAGTATACGCGACCACAAATTTTTTTGCCGATTCTATCGCGCTGTGCATTGAATCTACCTCCATGTATGAGTGACCAGATTCTAAAAAGTTATGCTGCGATTTTTTAATAAGTCGTACATTTTACGAATAGATAATTGTGAATCCAGGTATTGCCTTTTTGTAGTACTACGGCAGTAGTGTGACTGCATAACCGGCAAACTTCCAATATGATTTTTCATTGCTTGTAATACTACAGCTGGTGTTTTATTTTTAGGTGAATGCTTACCTTGTTTATCATGGCTTCGATACATACCAGATTCACATCGAGAAGCCAAAGCATTTTCAACTGGTCCATGACTAATTGAAAGTGTTTTTAAAAAAAAAATGTTTTGCAAACCCTAGATTCGTTCAGAAAATATTTTCTGGATTGTTGTTTACTTTTGCTATTTTTACATGTTTTTACATGAACATTCCGCAAAATAAAATCTTTTTGCCTACAAAAATCTAAATTCCAATAAATGCGACAAATTTCATTTCGTTTCTCTTCACTAAAATTATCTGTGCAATGATAAATACATTTACTGCAGTCAATACCATTGGGAATTTTGGCAGGTTTCTGAATGCCCTTTTTAGAAACATATCCAGTCATTTTTTTGTTTTTGTTAACATTTATTTTCCAATTTTTAGGATTAGCGACCCTGCCCTTGCGATTAATTTTTTTACTAGATATTAATTCTTTCTCTGTACTAGTATCTGCGCTTGACACATCTTTATTCTCCGGAGGAATATATTCTTCATCTCCACTAACAGAAAAATCAGCGTCACTTTTTGAAGTGTTCAATTCTATAATTAAAAAATAAAATTAAATTTTTGTATATTTTTTTTACGTCACAAAAATTATATTTTTAAAAATTTTTAAAACTTACCAGTGTATACATTCTTTTCAGCAGTTCTTTTTAAATTTTTTTTTTCTAATTCTTTTTGACACATTTCGACCATAATATTTTACCCTAATAACCCTAATAATAAAGATCTTTTGCACGAATCAAAAATTTTAAAAATCACAATTTTTATTTGTTTTTAAACCAATCTCAACAAACATCACATCTAAAATGACAAAATAATTCTCATAAATAAAAATCACACTTAGTGATATTTACACCTCTGTATTATTGCTTTAGGAGCTTTAAGGGCACCTGATAGTATTTCTAAACGATAGAGCATTGTCTCTTAGACATTGTTAAAAGCGATTTTCAATAAATGTTACTTAATGAGTTTTAACCTTTAAACCGTGAGCAAAAACATGACTGCCGTTTCTATAATTTATGTACAATTTTTACCATATACATAGGATATTATGGGATAGTGAAATTGTATAAGTAGCGTTATTTGCTATATTTTTATAGCAAATAATTTTCATACAAAATAGCCACATTTCCTAAAAATATAGTATATTTTCCTATATTAAATGTTCATATATCTAATACGCCTTAGAATTATTTACTATGTATAACACCATTATGTATTATAAGAAATAGTAAATAATACTATAAATGTCGCAGTGTTAAGTATAAATATAAATTTGGCAAAAAGTGTCATGTACGATATGCAAAAATCACATCAAATATACCAGTTTTCCTTATTAACAATTGTAGTAATTGCTATGAATATTGGAAATTGTGCAATGTGAAATGTGCATTGGTTATATGTGTAGAAGAGTAAAATATGAAAAATATTACCATCTTTGATATGATAAATTAACGAAAGTTTTAATAATCATAGCGCTTGTTGTTACACGTAATTGCAATGAAAAACGTGTATTAGTAATATGTGTGCAACAGTAGTATGTGAAAAATATTGCAATCTTTGCTATAAAAAATATGCGATTTCTTAATACACTATGAATTTTACCATAAATATAGCAGATATTGTCATGCTAAATTAATGGAGATTTTTTTAAACATAGCACGCGTAATTGAAAGAATTATTACTGACATGATAAATTTCGATATACCCCATATTATATTCCAATCATCTTCATTATAGTATAAGCATAACATGCAATACACATATATGCACATTTGACGGTATGTACGTACATACATCCACATAAATAAGAAAGTATATTAGTTAACTGTATCAACATAATATGCAAAATATTAAGTATTATTTCTAAAACAAAAATTAGATTGCCACTCTTAAAATAAGAACTTAAAAGTAAAAGGAATTTTTTTAGTTACTCAAAAAAAAATCCAGTAAATGAGGAAAGCCCCAACGGCTCAAAACGTCCTTTAAAAATTCTTTTGTTTCCATGGTACGTATGTATGTATGTATATAATAATGTAATATGTATAATATAATATAATATTATGTATAATATACTTATACGTTCAAGGGCGACTTTAATCATAAAATTGAATTAAACACCTTTTTTGAATTTTTAGGCGATCGACCCTTCGCTTTATTGGTAACAAATGAACTGAATTTTATTAATTTTACAAAATACAAAAAATGTTCTTAAAATTACAATTTATTATTTATGAATAATATTTAAAAAAAAAAATCTTTTTTCTAATTTGGGACACATTACAAAATTATCATTATATTTGCTTATCTTATAATTACTTACAATAATTTCTTTAAAACAAAAATCGATTTGAAATTCTCAATATGCAAGCCACATGCTTATTACAAAATTACCATTATACCATATTAACGTTATAATAATACGTTAAACGAAAATAAATGAATAATGCAACATAAGAAAAAAATGCAACATAAACATTTTTAAGTGGGTCGCTTTATGTTTGCAACTACACTATGTTTTAATAAAAACATAGGTCAGTTTAGTTAAGTTAAAATTGTAATTGATTTTATTTGTTTTGAAGTATGAAAAATTAAAAAATAAAAGTGTCGTTTGTTATGATTAATTTATTGTATTGAAACAATATTTTAGTTGATTAGTTCAACAGGATAATCTTTTCATTAAAAATTTTCCATTTTGAGAGTAATAATATATTTTTTTTTTGGATATAGCCTTTCGAAATCGATTTCGATCTATAAAAACGTTATATATTAATTTTTTTAAAGTTTGTTTTATGCTTTGATTGTACATCACCTTTTTTGACGTACAATCAAAGTGTACTTTAAAAAAAGTTCCAAAAATCACAAACATGAAACACATGAAACACTGCGAAGCTCCAAAAATTTAATATATTACATACCAATGATACTGCTATTTGTTGAGTTAAAATTGTCCACTTGACAAAAAAATCTTGTGAATTCTCTTTGTTTAATACGTCTTGTCTTCGAAGGTTAAAAGTAAGGTTTCATTTTTCAGTTACAATGTTGTCTGGGAAAAATTTATTTTTCAACCAAAAATGATGATCTTCCAATTCGGGATTATTTGTAATAGCTAAATTGAAAAAAATTTACAAAAAAAAATCTAATTGAAAAGTTCAATTACTAACATTGTTCGTTTACAAGGTTTGTCAAATCTGATTCTTCACTGGCATTTATATCAAATTTTCTTTTACGTTGGTAACGACTTTTTACAATTCCCTCTTTTTGTAGTTTTTTACTTAAATTTTAATATTTTTTGGCTAATCTTCCTCTTTGTCCTTAATTCCAATGTAAACTTCCGTAAAATATTTATTAATATATTTTTTTATAAGTTTATGTTTTTCTTTTAATTTTTTTAACTACCTGACTTTCGGTTGGAAATAATAATAAAATTTGTTCGATGGCAATTTTATAATCAGTATCAATGATCCGTCTTTTCAAATTTACCCAAAATTCTGCGATCGTCGTAATAATATATTGTCCATCTTGATTTGGAAGGTATTTATTTTAAAATATTTCTGCCATTCACGTTGCTTTCTAAGGTTTCTTCTAAATTCTAAAAGATAAGTAATCATTCTAAAT